TTTTTCTCTGACCTACATCTTTCAGAGGAATACAGCAACAGATGACACCAAGTAGAGGATTCAGAGAGCTCTTTGTGCAAGCCCTAGCAGCAGAGCTCTCCAATGAAGGGCATGAAGCTTAACTCCCAGCTTACCCTGCAAGGAGGGTTTTTATTTCATTTCAGTGAAGAGCAGCATTTCCATTGACTTATGCAGGAACAGAGTCAATCCCAGCACGTCTTTTAAGACAAGCTACTCCTCAGCAGAAGCAGCATCTCAGCAGATAGGACGTCCCTGCTCCTGCGAGAGTCCTCATCCAGGCAAAGCAACTCCCACCACACACTGACCAATCCCCCCACTTATTGCACAGATTTCTGCTCTTTCACATCACCATTGTGATTGGCGACTGGAACAGAAAGACAAAAGAAGCCAAAACACCACCTGGAATGGAGCTGAAAGAGATGTAGGAGCAGATATCTCCATCTGTATTCCCGTGGATGCGTAAATCAGGAAGGCAGCTGGGGTGTGTGCTCTGTGCCACTGCATCTCGGGAAACCCTGATGTCCATTTCCACATCAGCCAGCTCACCTCAAAGCCTGAGGTTTCCTCATCCTCAGGCCAGTTACACTGCTGTGAAACTTCAGAAACAGGGTGAGCAAAAGGAGCCCAAGAAGAATAGAAGGAAAAATGAGACTTTTCTCAGGCTTATGCAGAAGGTAAATTATGGGGCTACTTACACCACCTAAAATCGCTTTCTCCCCAGAGGCCTGAATGTGCTCTATTACAAAAGCTGTGTATGGGATTGTAAATTTGCCATATACACTACAGGGTAATTGTACCAGACTCAACTATGTTGTATTTTTTTTGCCTATAAATGTAATGGTGATTTGTCTCCTCTTTTTACACGCGTTTCAGAATCTCCAGGAAAGCACCTTCCACCATTTAATCCAGATAAAGAGAAAAGTCTTTTGTTGAGCATGCCTTCCCATACACAATACACAACACACAACAGGAGTTAGTTACACCTTCCCATATTAATGGACGCACTCCTGCGCAGAGCACCTCAGCATCCTCGGTAGGAATCACACATTGACAGTGTTTCATGCCCTGAGCAACATACTTTTGTATTGATGCAAAGCGCCGTGCACTGAAGGGAAGGTGGCAGCTTTCCAAGTGGCCCCAGTTAATAGCTCTGTTTTGCTTAATGGTGCCTCCCATTCAGACTAAAGATGCTGTTTTAAATATGTAAGCAATTAGTATCTCTCTCTCTCAACACATCTGTGCTTCTTCTATCTGCTGCATTATAAATCCACCGCGTCCCTCTCCAGCTCGCTGGTGTGTGTATCGCCAGATATTGCCATTATCAGCAACTTTCTGGTCTGAAGGGATTATGCTTGCAGTTGGAGACTCTTGGCCAGGCTGGCCTTGACTCACCCCAGCACAGCGGGATGCTCCTCTCCAAGGTTGGCCCTAGACTAAGATAACAGGGGTATGACCTCTTAGTCTTTTTTGGCTGTTCTTGAATCCAGCCCATCCCTTTCTCCTTCTCAACTTTTCTCCACTTTCATCTACCTTTCTGGTTAGAAAATGCAGCCTTTTCTCCCCATGACAAAGCCTGCAGGAGGCTGCTAGCGGGGCTGTGAGCGTGGCAGAGACGCATCCCAGTGTTTCAATAGCAGAGCCCCTTGTGCACCTAGGGCTCAAATAAATCCTGCCTGTTCAAACTCCAGTGAGATTTAAAGAGATGTGGCCAGACCGGTATGGATGTCATGGTCTGCATTTTAGTAGTGCAAAGAATTATTGTTACTGAAATAGGAATTAATAGTGATAGAGGTAATTAATGGTGATTGATAGACATAGTGATCATCATCTCCTTTTACAGAGTGTTTTCCATCCCAAAAGGTCCGCTTTACTGTACGCACCTTTCAAGGGAGGACGAGGTGCCACCACCACCACCGCGAGCAGCAGCTGGCTTTGTCTGATTTATGACAGTTTTCATCCTTTCGGTGGTAAACCTTCCCCCCAAACCCCCCACCCTGACCCCTCCGCAAGGGAGGGGATGCTCCGCGGCCGCGCAGCCGGCAGGTCCCGAGCATCCCCCGGGTGTCCCCTCGGGGGGACGCGCCGCAAACTTTGTCTGCGGGGGGCGGCGAGGGCAGAGCCCGCCCCGAGCCCCCTCCCCGCGCCGGGCGGGGCGGGACGGGAGCTCCGCGGGCGCCGGGGGGCGGAGCGGCCCCGCCGGGCGGCGGCGGCGGCGGCGCTGAGCCGGGACGCGGCTCCGCGCTCCGCACCCCGCTGAGCGGCCCGGCTCAGCCCAGCCCAGCCCGGGAGCCATGCCGCTGCCGTGCCGGGGCTGGACGCTGGCGCTGCTCACGCTGCTGGTGGGGTTCCTCATCTTCGCCGATATCTCTGAGATCGAGGAGGAGAGCGGGTAAATAAATACCCCCTTCCCGGGCGCGGAGGGAGGCGGAAGGGCGCTGAGGAGAGGGGTGCTGGAGGCGGCGGCGGCGGGGAGGCAGCAGTGGCGGTGGTATCGGCGGCGGTGGTGGAGGAGAAGAAGGGGGCGGGCGCCCGGACAGTTTCTTTGTCTCTGGCTCTCCCGGTTCTTGCCGTGCCGAAGTGGGAAGGAGCTCGCTCCGCTCCCGCGTAGTGCCGCGGAGCCGGCGCAGCCCCGGGCGGGACCGCCCCGCCGCCGGGCAGGACGGGGCGCGGGGCCGCGGTCCGGGCAAGGGTGCGGGAGCTGGTACCGGTCCCGTTAGAGACGCTGAGGTGCCGGTCCGGGTAGGGGTGCTCCATAAGGTGCAGGTCTGGGTAGGGATGCTGGAGCGGGTACCAGTCTAAAGGGATATTGGAGCAAATACTGGTCTGGAGAGAGGGGTGTGGGCTCTGGCAGTGCTGCTGGGCTGATGGAGCTGTTCTTTAAGCGGGATGTCTGCAGGCAGTTTGCTGGCCGCGGCTGGTGGGGCAAGTTGCAGCCCAAAATGTTGGGTGCTGGTCCAGCTGGGCGTGGTGGAGAGGACGCAACCCCGCGGGGGTGATAGGTGAAGGACTAGCCTTAAGGATGGTGGAGCAAGGACCTCTCCGCGGGATAGGAGAGGGTGAGCAGGGACCAGTTGGATGGTGGTGATGGAGCAGGGTGAGAGGGCTCAATCCATGGGCTGCATCTGGGGCTTTGTGATTACCCCTTCCCGATCACTTCCATGGTGGGTGTTTACCTGCAAGTGCCCTCTATGGCAGGGGCTAATGCAGCCCCTAAGTCTGAGAAGGTAAACAACACCCTCCATACTCCATAAACCACATCTCTGAAGGCTGCTGGAAACTTAGGGGATGACAGGAGCAAATGCAGAGATTAGGGTTTGCATTAACTTGAGGAACTCGCTACAGCAGTGTGGGAAAACAAATCAGGTCATTTTAGAAATGTGGGGTGCACTTGTAGTGCACAAATGGCACAAGGGCTTTCTGTAGCATTGTCCACTGTGTTACAGCAAAACAAACACCTGCCTGAAATCATAAGTGAAATGCAGTGATGTTTGTCATTGTTTCATTGTTATAATATATTGGGTGCTGCAGGCAAGAAGTGCTTAAAGGTCAGGAGCCGTGTCCAGAAACATCCAGCACTGGGCTGTAGGTTACCAGGCTGGATGAATTGTTGCTCTGCAATGAGCTGGCACTATCTATATAATAATAAAGGAAATGAAAAGCTTCCCAGGCTTCCTCCCCCATCGGACAGGCTGCTCCGATCCCTTTGCTTTCCTCCCATCTTCTTTTCTGGCTTCTGTTCTTCTGTCTCCTTGCCTATCTGCTAGATCTGCCTGCTAGAACTTGCTGTGCCCTTATTGGAAATCTATTCTGTTTTACTTACTTGTCCTGTTTTTCACCCTGGTTCATTAGGGATTCCCAGTGTTGTGGGTGTACTGGAAATTGAATGTTTGCTGGTTGCTTATCTCCAAGTCCTCGTATCTGAGTTTGTTGCTGTAGTTTCTCCAAGGGAGTACTGCCAAGCTGTGCCGTGGCAGAGATGGCAACAGGGTCAGATGAGTTCTGTAGAAACAACGAGCAGCTTGTTTCATACAGCATTCCAGCGTGCACGAGGTAACTGGAAAGGAGAGAAGCACTCTATACCCCAGGTTGTAAAGGTCCTGTGCTTTCAATACCGGGAAGCACAGAGCAGAGATGGGACCCTGCTACATCAAGAAGCAATCATGAAGTAGGACAAACTGACCCTTTCTCTTGGTTTGCCCTGTCTCATGCCTTTCTTTTCCCAATTGGTTCTCGAAAATGGTTCAGGTTTGGTGACCTCAAACACAAACGCAGCAAGGGGCTGAACAATGTTCATCTTACACCTTAAGCTCTTAGCACAGGAGCCCGGCACAAAGAGCACTTCATCTCTGTGTGCTGCAGTGGTACAGGAATGGTCAAGACAGTGCTCTGACCTGGTGGAAGTACATCACTGGGGAGATGTGGAAAAGCCGAGTGCCTCATCTACAGTAGGTCAAGAGATGACAAAGGGTTTTGAACTTTGAGGGCCCCATGATAACAGCATCTTTTGCAGACAGGTCCTGCAGGTAAAGGGGACTGTGTGACAGCAGCAATCCAAAACAGTGTAGAGTAATAGACCCTTACAAAGTTTTCCAGGAGCTCTCTATGTGTCTAGGAGGGTATAACTCCTCTTTGTTAGAGGTGGTTGCGTGGCACCATATATTTGTGCAGCTCTCCCCAGGTCAGGGATATTTGGCTGATGGATCGTGTAGCTCAGCATCCTCCTCCGTACCCCACAGAGCGCCTTGGCTTTGGCCAGCGCAGCCCAAGCCTTAGGAAAAGCAAAGAGCTGGGCAGGCACGAAGGGGGGCTGGGAAACGCAGGCAGGTGCAACTCTTTTCTTCTCTTTCCTTGGCATCCAAACACTCTCTAATTATTGTGAGGAGTGAACAGCTTGCCCACTTTTACACATACCCTGCCCCCTGCCTGCAATTTGGATTGTCTTTGGAAGAATATGCCTCATACGGGTGGGAGCAGGGGGGAACATATTTCTCTCACCTACAGATACTGAGAAATTGCAGAAAGAAAGAACAAAATGGTCATTAGGTATAAAGTAAAAATATAATCTTGCTGGCAAAAGGACAAAAAGACAACCCAAGAAACAAGCTGTTTTCCCAGAAAATAAGTTCCCAGCATCGCAGGTGAAGGGAGGCAGGAGCTAGGGGCGACTGGAGCTGCTCTGCCTGCCAGAGGCTGCTGAGAAAGATGTTTGCTCCATAAGCAGACCCGCTTTGCTCCTCCAGGTATTCCTACACCACCTCTTGCAGCCCAGAGATACTGAAACAAAGAAGTGTCAGGGCAAGGATGAACATTCAGCAGTTTCTTGCTCCCGACGCTGTGTCACTCTCATTACCCTGTCCCTCCCACCCTGCAGCCACCCCTGCCACATCCCTGTCGTCGTGCATATAGATCACCCGTGGACACAGCGCTGATGCTGCGGGATGGCAGCGGGCAGGCAGACACGCTCGTCCCGCTCGCCTTGGCTCGCTCCTCATGCTCACCAGTGTGTGCTGCCGCGGTGAGGTATTGCTGCTATGAACGGTCCTGGCACTTTGTTCCCAAACAACCACCTGGTTCCGGGCTGCTGAACTTTTCCTGCATCCCAGTGGCGCTTACGATTCCCTCCATCGCTCCGGCTCTTTGTTTCCCTGCAAGGAAACAAAAGACACATTCAATGTCTGTCTTGGGGAACACTAATGCAATCGCAGCCATTTCTTCATCCAGGATAGGCGAGCGGGACAGACCTCGCGCTGCACAGGGAGACAAAGGACCCGGCGTTGAGCGGAATAATTATTGCCGGTGACAAGGAGAAAAATTCTGCTCCAGTTTAAAGGGACTCTTTGTTATTATGCGTCGGCTGTAGCGGTTCTGCAGGGGTCCGGCTGTGTCCTGATTGTCTGTAGAGGGAGCTGCTGACCCGCTGCCACCAGGTGACTTCTCAAATTAGCGCCTGAGCCATCTTAGGGAACACTTGACACTTGGTAATGGGTTGGTCTTAGTATGAGCCAGCCTTTTCCCTGCTAGCCCAGGCCACATGCCTTTCCATCCTCATCACCAGAGGAATTACATTCTGCCTTTTTTTTAAGTGGTGAATAGGAGCATCTCATATTTCCAGGCTGCCTGGAAGCTTGTCAGTAAATTGCTGCTTTTTCCACGCGTGCCCTTTCCTAATGCCTGCTTCTCGAAGGCTCAGGAATGCCACAGAGAGATTTCGCATCCTTTATGGTGGCTGATGTGCTTGCTGTGAGTGGTCTGTAGCGTGCTGTAGTCATAACGCTTCTTGTCAAGGTTGGTCCAGGGAGTATAAATGTCCTGCTTAGATGTTTCAGGCTGTGATTTACTGCGCTTGACCCAGAGTTAGTCTAAGACTTGCTCTGCACCAGAAGGTTTTGTTGGAAAAGGTGCTGTATTCTACCAACATGCACTTTTTTTGCACTCACACAGCAGGTGCATGCAAGCCAACAATTACTCAGGTTGGTCTGGAGGAGTAGTAGCTCTCTGCAAGACAGAAGCCCACAGGTACCCTGTAACTATTCATGTAAATGGAGCCAGTGGAGAGGCCTTTGTGTTCGTTTGGTATGGCAGAGGCTCTAACAAAAGCCCCATGATGCACTGGGCTTGAAAATAAAAGCAATGTTGGAGCACTGATTTGAGTGAGAAAATACTTGGTGCTGGCTTTAATTGCACCTCTTCTGACAATACCTTGAGCTCAAGCAGCAGGTGTCAGATAGGCTGCAGAGTTCCCCATCCTCCCTGTGAAGCACTCCTTCATCTCCTGCAGGGGCAGGGGTGGCTGCCACAAAGATGCATACAAAACCCCTCTGCTCCTGCCTAGGGCAAGCTGAAGGAGATGAATATCCATAGCTTGTTTCCTTAAGCTTAGCTCTGAGGGAATGGCAGGAGCAGTGCTGCCTGCAGGGAGTTGGTGTCCTGCAGGAGGGCTTGGGAGCAGCAGGATGGAAAGGACGAGCAAACCTCCAAATAATCCAGTGAAACAAAAAGAAAACCCAGCACCATGAGCATAAACAGCCCTTCTAGGGGCTTTACAGTGCAGTTAGCGAAAGCTACTCTTTGGTCCAGTCCTGATTGTCAGCAGCAAGACCCCCAAGGAGGGAATTTCTGAGCCTCCCAGTGAGGAGGGCAGTAGCTGTGACAGGAGGATGCGCATCTCTAGCCAGCACTTCTTAGGTGCAGAGTTGCTGAAGCCATTACCAGTTCCCACTCTCAGAGCAATGAAGAAAGCAAAGCAGCTCCCCACAGGGCTTCAAGTTTCCCTTTTGCCCAAGTATGCTTTTTGTTTCCTATCTCTAAGCCCGCAAATGCACAATCCCAGTCTGGGAAACCTTTTCTCCCTGGAGAGAACAAGGAGTTCCAAATGTTGGTCCATTTAGCGAAGGCTTGTTGAGCAGCTAACGGTGGGATTAAGTGATTCAGCCATCAGCAGTATAGCGCCCGCTCCTCCATGCTCTTGCTGAGCTCATGGGCACAGAGCGAAGCCCTGGGGTGGTGGCCAGCAGTGACACAGCAGATCCCACTGCCACCCGGAGCCCTCCTGGCTTCTCCTGGACATGGATGAAGGGGTCGTTTTCTGTTGGATTCTCTGCAGCAACCATGGTTATTCTGCTTGGACATCTGTTCTTCAGTGCCTACTGGCATGCCAGATGTGCTTTTGATCTTCCAGGAAGGCATTCTGTAAGAGCTCCCTTACCTTTCCTAGGGCTTTCAGGCTACAGGTATTTTGCTTTTTCATCCCTGTGACCAGCACTGCTTAAATACATCTACAGGCACAGTTGCTATAAAAACACAGATGTTCCAAAGACAGACTTAGAATTGCCTCTGTTATTTGTTTTCCCTGGGCCTAGGTCATCCTCGACAGCAAGAAATAAACCCACACTGCAACATTAGGCAATAATTATTTTGCTGTTTTTCTGGCTTGTGTCCCCTGTTGCCTCTGGAAACAAGGGAGTTTTCTGGCACAGTAAATTCACTGTAGGAGCAGAGTTTCAGGTGTCCTTCAGCAATCACCACAGCAGAGCAAGCTGGTGTCAGCAGCTCTGCCCCTCTCTATGCAGTATTAAAAAAAAAGGAGGGGGGAAGCAAAGAACCAAGACAAGAGTGTCTTTACAGCCCCCTTTTCTTTGTGTTCCCACTGTAAATATATAAAGAACTTGGAGGAAGATGAGCTGGAAGGGTAGCACATGGTTAAGGTGCTCATTGCGAGGGTGGTGGGACCAATATGGTCCTCCTGAAGTGATGCCACAGCACAAATCTATGTCCTGTCATCATGTAACACAGTCTGGAGTCTTTGCACCCGCCCAGGAGTGGTGGTCGCTCTTGGAGGTGACACTACAAGGCAGAAACACCACCAGCTTCAGGGATGCTCCCCTCTGCCAGGCGGTCAGCAGCTTCATCACCCTGATCCCACTAACTCTGCCAGCCCTGCTCTTGACCCTTCTGAGGTTTTCTGATTCATCAAGCTGGTTGCTCCTGCACCAGGTCAGCTCTTTCCCAGTTTAAGTGCTGGACTCTTTCTTACTGCTATTGCAAGTAAAGTTCTTGTTATTGCATACAGAAATCCACTGGGAGTATCGCAAACAAACAACAGAAAGGTACCCAGGCTGGACAGCTGCACGCTGAGTATGCCATCCCCATCCAGCACTCTCCATGGGCAGGGCTGCTTTCAAAAGCATGTACTGTCACAGTCATAACATGGTTTTGAGGTGCTTTCTCAAGGCCTCCCTCAGTCAAACAGCATTGTGGTGGCCCCCAGGTATTGCCATGTGTCTGGCAGCTCGGAATCCAAGGATGGTTCTTCCATGGAGACCTGTTACCTCCAGCCCAAGCTTTACTGGCATCTTCAAAAATGTAATTCAGCTCTCAGCCAGCAGCTACAACAGGGGACGTGATTCCCCTGAGAAGGTTAAGCATCGTCATAAGGCATCTCCAGCATCTTTTCAGGCATCCAGAAGCACACTCAACTGTTGAACAGCAGCTTGAGTTGGTCATTAAACTTCTCCTCCTTACTGCTGCCTGTATTTCCGTGGTGTGGCTTTATGAGCCAGGGGAGGAGAGAGGAGATCAAGCTCTGAAACCACTATTGGCTTCTGGACATTGTTATCTGGGGATTAAGCTCCTGTGAAGGTCCTTGCATGGCTCCATTGCTTATGAATGTCTGTAAAGGTGGGGAAATAGCTCAGACAGCTGCTGGTTGCAGGGTGTAGCTCTCATACAGGAGCTCCCAGCTCTCTTTGTGTAGGCACCAGATGTTATTTTGAGGATGCTCATACAGAAGAACCACTCCAGGAGGATGTCAATGCCCAGGAGAGGTCCTCAGCATCCGCGTCAACAGCAAAAGAAAAAACCAGACCTTGAGCATTCCAAGGGGCTGCACAGACCAGTGGGAAAAGTAGGTGAGAGATGAGTATGGGAGGAGGAGCAGCCCCTCAGACATGATTTCTTTTCATATTGCACCATTCCCATTTCCCAGGGTACATAGCATCCAAGATGCTGCAGGAGCCACTGGGATTTTTGTCTTTTGGGATGTGAATGCTCAGGGTGACAGATCTGCTGCAAAACTGATGCTCTGCTGTTTGTGCTCCCTGATAGCTCTGCTCTGTTGGCTGAAAAGATTATCGCGGGGAAAATGTATAGTGTAGATCTTTTTTATGCAGTGAGGCTTTTGTCTCAGCTCCTTTCTAGGCTTGCAGTGGGCTCTTGGGGTTTTTTTCCTTCTCTGTTCCAGAAGGGGAAAGCTAAACACACAAACACACACACCCCAGTCCCAAACTCCTCACTGGATCCTTTTTGCCTGCTTCAGTGTCTTTTTCTTTGCTGACTGTTTAATTAACACAGGCAAAGAAACTGAACTGATGCCAGGAATAAACCTCTAATGGAAGACCTGAGATGAAGGAGAGAATAAGGTCCTGTTAGTATATGGGATGGGGAGAAGTGAGATGTGTGACATTTTTGCTCTGCCAGCACGTGAGCGTTTTGTCTTTAGAGCAGCGATAAAACAAGAGCATCACGGGGTGATCGGGTCAGGTTGTGCTGATGTGATGGTGAATGCGTGTTTATGTGAGACCTGACATTCCACACATGCAAGGGAGACTGTTCTGGCTCAGGAGAAGCACTTGGCCTGCACCATGGGATTCCTGATGGACAGCAGTGACCATCAGGCTGCTCTGAGCATCATCCTGCCTCTTACAGGTCCTTCAGAGCAGGTAGCTCAGGGCAGGGACAGGGATTTGGGTTTGGTGCTGTGGTTATCCCAGTGCAGTGATCCCCAAGCAGTGTCGTGGTGGCAGGCTGCCACGAGTGTCCCTCCCATTGCCTCATGTCCTTTAGTGATCTGAGCTGCGCCGTTCCTGCTGGTTCTTCTCTGGTTTTGCCATATAAGCGTTTCTGCCTAATTGGCTGATTCTCTATTCAGCAATAGGTGTCTCTGTTTTGCAAACTCATGTGTCTTGATTCCCGTGTCCTCAATGATCACACAGTGATTTGTAACCAGGCAGAAATCTCAGAGCCAAACCCTCCTCTCATTTACACAGGAGCTGATGTAAAGTCACAGTTACCACCTGGCAGGGAGGGATGCTGAGCACCTCTGACCTGCCTGTCTTCTTGTGGTCCCTGGGAAGGAGCCTGCAGGATGCAGGGGCATGGGAGGAGGCGACCAAATTAGCAAGGCTGTTTTTCAGGAGACTGATAGATCTGTGTCCCTCATGGTGGGTAATAGCAAGTAAAGGAACATCATCAAGACCATCAGCTGATGCCTTTACACCAAGTCTCCTTGGCTTGCTGGAAGATGCTACACCGCAGGCCTGGCTGTACAAGCACTGCCCCTGCAGCTGCGTCAGAACTCCAGCAGAGCAAAGTGATTTTCCTGAATG